GGGCTGGTTGGGGTCGTCGCCTCCGCGCCTAGCGGCGACCAAGCCGCGAAAGGGGCTGGAGACAAAAGGTCCACGGCTGTACGCTCGTTGTCCCGCAAGAGGCTCGAAACTCTGGCCGCTCCCCTTTCCTTCTTTTGTAATCGCAGGGAGCCTTTCCCAGCTTTTTGCTGGGAAAAGAGGCAGGGATAGGGTGCTAATGAATGAGAAAGCTAAAAGAGAGGTGGAGAGAGGTTGTCACTGAATCCGTGCTTGGCAGCGGATGCTTTTAGTGCTACCCTGTCATTCCTTAATGAAGATGAGGGCTGGGGGCAAGGGGAGGTCGTCCGAGAAAAGGACTAAACAAAAACTGCCTAAGAAGGTGTGCGACAGCAAACGGTCATCTATAGAGACAGCTTCTCCCACGGTCTGCCCCAAACTCAACAAATACCTATCCAGCGCCTACCCTCACTAGAGACCAACCTAGAGAGAAGCCAGGAAGACAGGGACAAACCGCGACTTTAAGCTCCTTTGTATATTGCCCTCAAACTCTCAGCACCTACTCTGCTCTGTATACTCCCTATACATGTTAGACTTGTCAGGAACAAAATGCAACTAGAGGCAGTGCAGGCACAGGAGCAGCCAGGGAGTGAGGTTCTGGGTGTTGCCGCTGTGCTAGGTTGCATTCAATATGAAGATTTCTGTTCAACTGAGCATGTGCGGAATGAGCCAACGCCATCAGACAGGTATATGCCTCAGTTGAAGACCAAAAGAGTCTTTGTTCCTCCGCATAGCAAAAGTGCCCATTAGTTCATAAGTCAGTTTCCAGAAATCGTCTGGTAAATTTCTCAGTGTGGTAATTTTTTTAAAAAAAGTATTTATTAATACCAAAGTGGAGGGGGTGATGTGGAGACTCACAGCCTATTTTCTCTTCAGAAACGTTTCGTGCAAACCCTTGACCACTCCCTCAAAAGACTGAGAGATTTGCCTGCTAAGGATTTGGGTACTAAACCTTTAAAAAAAAAAAAAAAAAAAAAGCAGACCAGAGGACAAGTGTAATTGCACACGGTTTTCCTCCTTTCTCAAAGAGCTTGTGCATTCTCTAGAGATGGGGGCTTCAGAACTTGAGAAACATTGCCTCCTTTAAGGGTCCAAGAGTAACTCACCACAAGTTGGCATGTCCAGCTCATGTCTAATGAATAAGGCATCACTCCATTCTGCCCTGAAGTGCACAGGGACCCTCTCAAGTCACCTTGTCAGCTTCACTTCTTTTCCCCAGCCCAAGACTGAGCTATACCAACCCTTGTCGACTTCATTTTGGGGTTTCTTATCTTCCACAGAGACCTATGCTCAGAGGTAGAAAAGGACAATTATAAAGTAAAACAGAAAAGAAAGTGCAGGTGAATAAAAGAGAGAGACGATTGCAAAAATAAGTAAGCTCATGGGATCACAGTTGGTTTGGATCTGGAAAGAGCCTCCCTCATTTACAGATGGAAGAATGCGGTGGTTGCTCTCCCAAAAACCATCCCACCCCTCTCCCCCACCATAGGGTAGCAGCTCTGAGCTTGAGGTGAGATTGTAACCATCTTAACTGGAGAGGTGGGCTCTGATTAATTAAACTAACACATCCAGCCCCCTTCCTACAGCCATAAGCCTAATTTAATCAGCTCTTGGCACTCCCTGGCCACAAGCTTTGAGTGGTTCGAGGTCTGCCAATCAGCACAAAGCTCAGGACTTCTTTTCCTAATCTGTACTTAGATCTCCCAGTTCCCAGTGTGATATTTAGTCATACAGAAATTCTCTGCAATACACATCCCTCAGAAGTTGTACCATGTATGATGACTAGAGGTAGATCCTCTCTGCCTTGGGGACTAAAATAACCAAACCTTTTAAATTAATTTTTCTCTGGATGTCTTCCAAAAATCCAATACTGTTCCAACAACTAAGCCCATGTATTAGTGAGTCAGGTGTCAATAATTTGGTTCTGTTTTCGTTTCCACAAAGAAAATGTTAAAGTGCGTGCATCTATTAGATTGTATTCAGATGTTAGTAACTGAATATTCAACTAACAGTGGTTTAAACAAATGCAAGGGGGCGTGTTGCTGTTTTCCATGTAGCAAGGAGCCTGGAGATGTATGGTTACTAACATTGATCAGCTATTCAACTGTATCATCGGTGACCTAGGTTTATTCGTTCCACTCTGCCATTCTTGTAATGTTAGCATCTCATCCTCAGGCTTGTTGCCTCATCATTATGAGATGACTGCTGCAATTTCAGACATTAAAGGGAGGAAGAAGGAGGGCAGTAAGGACAGGAGAGGCCTTTCTGCTCCCTCTCTCATCTATTCGGGAAAGAAAATATCTTTTTCTCAAATCATGGGTCAGGACAGAGTCACAGGCAGCAACACTTACCTGCAAGGGAAGCTGGGGACACAGGTATTTGTCTTCTCCTGCCTCCTCTTGGGAAGTAGACAAGGGAGAAGTAGGGGGAAAATGGGCTTCGGCAGCAGGCTGGAGTGCAGTGGCACAATCTTGGCTCACTGCAACCTCCACCTCCTGGGTTCAAGAAATTCTTCTGCTTCAGCCTCCCAAGTAACTGGGATTACAGGCGCTTAACACCATACCTGGCTAATTTTTGTATTTTTAGTAGAAGCAGGGTGTCACCATGTTGGCCAGGCTAGTCTTGAACTCCTGACCTCAAGGGATCCACCCTCCTCGGCCTCCCAAAGTGCTGGGATTACAGGCTTGAGTCACTGTGCCCGGCCAATTTCTAATGCCAGGAAAATTACCAATAAAACAGAACTACGTCTCCATCATAATATAGCTATACCTCTAGTATATAACTGATAGGCCTTAAAAAAATGTAGAAACATCTAAAACCCCACAAGAATGGAGTTGGTGCTAAACAAATTTGATTCTCAGATGTCAGTGCAAATTTTCAGTGACTTTGAGGTCTTGGACTTCCGTCACAACTGCACTAGACATTCTCAGGTTGTCGGGCTCCCACATCATTTCAGCATGACACAGATATACAAGGGAAAAACACACTCCAGAGAAATAATAGCATGAGGGCCACACACAGAGGTCAGTGTGGCACAGGGCTAATTTAGGCAATTTAGAGTTCAGCCTCACTCTGTAGTATGATTGTTTAAGGATATAAATTATTACTGAATTAATGAATAAAATTAAGAATGACACTGTTCTCAACTGGAATAGTTATTGCCTCATGGTATAAACAGGATGTTCTAAGCTAAAATGAAAGACATCCTCCCTCTCTCCAGAAAAAGCTACATATATCAGACTTATACTCTGACATCACTTTGCAAGTCATTTATTTTATATTCATTCAATGAATGTCTGTGTTAGCCATGGGGGCTATAGCTGCAAATGATTCCTGCCTTCTCTGAACTTCATTCTAAAAGAAAACAAGTTGTTGGCAAGTAATTACACTGAAGAGTGATGTTTGTTAGGGTTTGGGAAGTACGGGGAACACATATTGAGAGGACTTATGGGTTGGGGAAGGCCCAGTTGAAAAAATGTTTAGACCAAGACTAAAGAAAATATAGAAATTAATCAGGTGAAGGGAGTAGGGGCCAGTTGATTATCAGTAGAGAAAACAGCATTTGTGAAGTCTTGGAGATGAGCAAGAATATGCTCTTCTAGAAGAAGAATATGCTCTTTTGGAGAAGTAGGTCATGGCTAGATCATAGCCTATAGGAAGAAAGAGGCCAGAGGGAGTTAGAGAAATTGTCAGGGGCCAGATACTGAAAGGCATCGATTACCATTTTAAAGAGTTCACTCACTGAAAGATTACAGATTTCAGTGGTACTGGAGTCTTATGTGTAGACTGAGTTACCCTGAAATCCCAAGCATGAACAGAATTCTACTTTTAAGTAATCATTCCCTTTGCACTGGGTGCATGTTGTTCTCTCCCTTACTTTTAAAAATCCAGATACCCTTGTAGTAAATATGAAATCCTTTAAATTGTTTCAGCAGACACTGTAGGTGCTTCACTCAAGTTCCCTTGGATCCCCTTTACCATTTCTGTGTGCCTCACTCCAGCTTCAGTGTATTTTTGCTTCCAAAGTCCGTGCCTGTGACTCCAGAGGACTTCCCGCAAGCTACTGGAATCATTTTGCCCACGTAGAAGTGCCTGGGGGTTTAGGTTGATTAGCTGTTAGCCAATGACC